CAGCAACAGCGCGCGGCTCCCGCCCCGCCGGGGAGCAGTAACCTTCACACGCGCGCGGGCCGCTCGGACCATGCAGATGCCCGCACCATTGGGGCAGTAGCCCCGCCCCGCCCTCAACCGCCTCCAGGCCTAGGTAGGGGGTGGGATGAGGACCCCAGAGGCCCCCTCCCCACCTCCGGAAAGCTGGGACTCAGGGGCTGCAGTGAAAAGTTAAGTCCTTCTCAACTCCCTCTCCCTGTTCTGCGAAATCTTCCCCAGAATCATGCACAAAGACACGAGAAGGTTGTGAACCCACAGTCAACTAGAAAAGATGTTGATTTTCTTTAGCCAACACATTGCATTGAACCTACTAAGCGGTAGGCACTACGTGCTTAAGAAATATTAACTCATTTAATCTTCACAACAACCCTAAGAGATGGGCTCAATGGTGGTTCTCATTTTTCAGATGAGGAAACTGAGGCACGAGACGGAAAAACTACTTGGTCAAGGTTATTATTTGCACCCAGGGAGCCTGGCTGGTTAGTTTATCACTCCACTGTGTTGAATGCACCTTTGAGAGGCACTAAAATTCAAAATGACAAACTGCTTAGGTCAAGCAAAAAACACCAGTGGCTGTCCGTCAGGCCACCAGTTTAAGACCCTTGTCCCAACCTGCCAGTCTTGAGGAGGGGGATACCCGGGCTCTGTTTGCACAGGCCAGGACTCTCCAGCATCTTGGAGGGGGGGGGGGGTGTTTCAGGAAGTCTATAAATAATAATACTGATGATGGAGTCCTGGTGTGGCACTCACTGTAAGATAAGCACTCCATCTCAAGGTTGGTTTGAACCTTAAGGTTAGTGGTTCAAACTCACCAACCACTCCTTGGAAACCCTATACAGTGTCGCTATGAGTTAGAAACCAACTCTATGGCACTTAGCGACAACAACCAGTATCCACCTTCTCACTCTGCATCACCCTATGAGGTAGGGACCACCATTGCTGTTCCCAAATCACAGATGAGAAAACTGAAATACAGTACAGAGAGGTATAGCCACTTGCCCAATATCACACAGCCAGTAGGTGACAGGACTGGGGACTTTAACTCAGGTTATTAAGACCAAAAGCCGGTGCTCTTTAGTGGGGTCTGTGTACAGGTTTGTGGGGGGGAACCGGCTACAGCTATGGAGGAATTCTTTTACCTTAGCCAGTGGTTCTCCACTGTGGACAGTTTTACCTCCAAGAGAATATTTGGCAGTGTCTGAAGTAATTTTTGGCTGTCACAAAGAGAGGTGGGTATCAGAGACTAGAGATGATGCTCAGAATCCTACAATGCACAGGATGGACCCTTCCCCCAACAAAGATTCTTCCAGCCCTCACAGGCCAACAGAGGTCAAGATGAGAAATCCAGGTCTAAGCCAAGCTTAATTTTCCCCCTCAACCAACCCAACCCTAGACCCCTCTCTTTTATCTACATTTGGTCTTTTTGACTCCCTCCACCACCTGCCGAGTCATTCTGTATCTGGTTTTATCAGTATCTCTATCTTTCTATCTCAACTCACAGGTGTGTGGGGGTCCTCCAAGCTTTAGGGTCCCTGTTTCTCCTTTCCAGATAAGAGGGACCAGAGACAGGGTTGGGGGAAACCTAGCATGTTTCTCCAGGAACTTAGAGGAGGGAGACCTTTGGGGGAGTGGGGTGAAGACAGACACAGGTATCATTGTTGTTAAGTGCTGTCTAGTTGGTTCTGACCCATAGTGACCTTGTATAGAGTTTCTGAGGAGTCGCTGGTGAGCTTGAACCGCTGACCTTGCAGTTCAGATGACTTTGCAGTCCAATGCATTAACCCACAGCGCCACACAGGAACTTTCAGGTATCCTTATTGTTAGGAAGTGCCTTCGAGTCGATTGCGACCCATAGCAACCCTGTATAGGGTTTCCTAGGAAAGTCTAAAAAACTCAGCCTTTGGGCCAGCCATCAAATCAATTCTGACTCAGAGGGACCCTATAGGACAAAGTAAAGCTGTCCCATAAGGTTTTCAAGGCTGTCATCTTTCCAAGGAGCAGACTGCCACATCTTTCTTCCGAGTACTTTGGGTTTCACTGACACGGGCTGCGCCACAGAGATCTTCATTTACCATGCTGGATCTACACTCTCCTTCCTACTCACTTTTCTTCTCAGAAATTCCAGCACTTCTGATGAGTGCAGGGGTTGATGAGTGAAAGATGGACCCTGAACTAGCCCAGGGCTGGGGCCTAGCCGTGTAACTTGGTCATCTATCAAGGCCAGAGCAAACCTCTAACAGTAGTTGAAACTCCTGGTGATAACATTGCTGTTGTGAAGTATTGTCAAGTCAGTTCTGACTCATAGTGACCCTGTATAGGGTTTTCGAGGAACGGCTGGTGAGTTTGAACCACCGACCTTGCAGTTCAAATCAACCTTTCAGTCCAATACTTATACTACAGCACCATTAGGTGCTTACTATTTACCAGATGGAGTCCTGGTGTGGTGGTGTGAACCACAAGGTCAGTGGTTCAAACTCACCAGCCACTTCTCAAAAATCTTATACAGGATCTTTATGAATTGGAAATGACTTGAAGACCCAACAACAACCAGAAACTGCACTAAATGACGTCTATGCATACTCTCATTTAATAAATGTCTACAGTAGCATTTCTCAAAACACCTTTGAACTTGATCTACAGTCAAAAATATACTTTCTTTGAGACTTTGCATGAACTTACTAAATATAAACAATATATATATATATATATATATTTGTTGTTGTTAAGTGCTGTGGAGTCGGTTCCGACCCATAGCGACCCTGTACAGGTTTCCGAGGGTGTAAATCCTTACGGGAGTAGAAAGCCTCATCTTTCTCCCGCAGAACGGCTGGTAGTTTCGAACCGCTGACCTTAAGGTTCGCAGCCCGATTCGTAACCACTACGCTACCAGAGCTCCTTATATATATATATATATTCAGAAAACAATCATTACCCTTGACTTCATGATTTTTTTAAAAGTATGTTCTATTTGATATTAAAAAAGAAAACAAAACACTGTGTTCTACAGCCACTAAGACTGAAGGTAGAAAAAGAGATTAACTATAAAGAACACGAGGCAAATGTTTGGAGTTATGAAATGTTCTGTGTCTTGACTGGGGGGTGTTTGTGCAATTGTGCACATCTGTCAAAACCCATTTAACTGTACACCTAAAAGGCAAATGTGATTGTGTGTAAATATACTTCAGTAAACCTGAATAATCATTAAATTAAAACGATAAAAATCACAAGGAGAATAATTTCACAATCTGTAGTTTGCTCATGAAACACAGTTTGAAAAACAATGAAAGAGGGAGGGGAAGAGAACAGGAGGGAGGGAAGGCAAAAGAAAGGAAGGAAGAAAAGAAAACAGAAAAGAGAATGAAGGAAAGACGGGAGAGTTGTTGGTTGCAGTCCTATAGATTCTGACTCAGGGCCACCCTGTATGTTACAGAGTTAGAATTGGTCTACAGGGTTCTCAAGGCCTGTTTTCCAGAGCCTCTGTTCTGGGTGGGTTTGAACTGCCAACCTTCCTACTAGGAAGAAAGGCTGCACTAATTCACCTCAAGTGCTGAATTTAGTGGTCAGTGTTTAAAAGTCAGGAGATATCGTCTGAGTTTGGAATTTCTGGCTTCTTGCAGGAAAATCTAAGGATCTGACCCTGGCAGGGAACCACTTTGAGATCCTGAACAAGCCTACCTTTACTCAGGCCTGGCATCCGTTCTCCACCAGTTCAGTGCACTGGGGGTGACTTGCCCTCAGAGACCAGATTAGGTTGAGAGGAAGGCACAAAGAAGGTGTGGAGAGACAGAGATCCAGGGCCCTGGGGATGGGGAGGAAACGGGGTCACCCCTGTTGCATCAGAGGAGGGTGTGATGATTGGAAACTGAGAAGGAAAAAGGAGCAGAAAGCCAAGAGACTGGGGGAGATCTGTGCAGGGGTCTGCCCGGGCATGTCTGTGCCAGGCACCCACAGCTTCCTCCTCCCCATGTGTCCTCGCCAGATTCGTGGTGAGTGTGACCAGGAGTACATGCTACAAAGTGGGCCCCTCGTCAGTAAGTCAGTTAGCAGGAACCTGTCACAACTGTGACTTTGTGCCTGTGTGTGGAGGTCAGTTCCGATGGCAGGGTGGATCTGTCTGATAGGGGTGGTTTCAAGCTGAGAGGCCTTGTGGGAGTGTCTGTACCAGTCCCAGTGGGGTGTCGTCTTGACCAGGCTGTGTCCATGTGTCCCTGTGACAGGTGTGTCTGTCTGAGTAAGTGTGTGTATGTCCAGCTGCATCTAGGAGGGAGTGTGTTTCCAGACAAGCATGAAGCCTTGTTGGTGTGTGTTGTGTGGGCCAGCTCAGAGGGAATGCTGGTTAACAGTTTATGGGTTTGTGCATACAGGTGTGAGTACTAGTACAATTCTCTGGGTGCCCCAGTCCGCGGGGCAGTCTCTGCATTTATGTCTGAACGTGTAAGTCTGCGTGTCCATGAATGTGCATTCGTGAGACTGTGGTCGTGTGTCTGAGTCTGTATGTCCCGGTAGCTCTTTCAACATGTGACTTTGTGCACCCAGGAGCGCCTGGTCGTGGGTCTGCGAGGACTCCTCAGTGTGTGTTTCTGTCTGTGGGGCCCAGTGTGTCAGTGTGTCAGTGTGTGTGTCCGTCCGGACGGATTCCCAAACGCGTGCTCTGCCCTGGTCCAGGCCCCTCCCCGGTCCCGCTGTAGGGAAACCCCCTCGCGGAGGGGGCGCGGCGCTAGTCTGCAAGTCCTGACTTGTCCGCTGCTGGGGGCGGGAGGATAGCAGGCGGGGCCGTGGCGTCACGAGGGGGCGGGGCGTGGGACCCTGCGGGCGGGGTGGGGCGGGGCTGGACGGCCAGAGACGCGGCGCGAGCCACATGCGAGCGGGCGCCCAGCGGGGCGGCTGTAGCGAGATCAGCGGCGGCGACCACGACGCGGACGCGCCCGCAGTCCGAGCAGCAGCGGCAGTCACAGCCACAACAACAGCCACGGCAGTTAGACCGACATCAACAGCAGCAAAGCGACAGCAGCAGCAGCCGCACAGAGCGACGCTGGCGGGCGCGCCCTCTTGAAGGAAGCCGCCCGCCACCCACCACCGTCTCCTCCGGCGTGTTCATGCCCCCGGGGTGAGTGTGCGCACCTCGAGTCCCAGCTAGCGGCCAAGGGCCAGGCCGGGTGGGCTTCCTGGAGGAGGTGGCGGGAGTGCACTCTGAGAACAGCGGAGTGCGCTGCAGCCCCACGCCGTGCCTGCCTTCTTGTCCACCCCACACACAAGGGACCCTGGGTTGAAGTCGCTGGACCTCGAGGGGCACGAAGGGACCGGGCGCCTGGTCTGGAAGCGCAGGTGGCACAGCGGTCTGGCGGGTTTGTTTACAAACAATGGGGTGCGGACTCGGCTGCGCCCCCTGGCGGTCAGTGCGGCTCCGGGGAGGACAGTCGACCCCGGCTACCCCGGCTGCCCCGGCACCCGCAGTCCCGGAGGGGCGGAGTGGGGTCTGCGAGGAGGGGCGGCCACACCCCAGGCGCGCGCCCGGTGGGGGCGGTGGCAGGGGGCGGCTCGCGGGCCGCCGAGTCTGCAGCTCCTACGGGCGGGGGCTGCGCCCCAGCAACAGCCCGTTATTGGCCCCGCGCTCGGCTGGCGGGCGGGGCAGGCGCACGTGGCGGCGGCGGGGTGGGAGGGGCGGTGACAGCCGAGGGGCGTCTGGGACCGCCGTGGGAGCACGCGTGTGCGGGGTTGTGGAGCTGCAGGTGTCTCGCCAGGGTGTGTGCGTGTGTCTGTCTCCGAGTTTGTGCTGGGGTCTGCCGAGAGTGGTAGTGTCAGTACAGGGGAACATTGCGGATGTGTGTTGTGTGTCTGAATCTGCCTTGCCATGGGGTGGGTGCTGTGTTTGTGTCGTTCTACCTGTGTGTGTGTGTGTGTTATTGGTGGGTGATGCCATCGAACTGGTGCTTGTGTGTGGTGTACTACATGCAGTATGTGGTTGTGTGTGCTGTCTGGGTGTACTGTGTTTGGGTGAGTTTGCACATGTGTCTTGCCTGTGCCGTTTGTGCGTGTGTGTGTTGTTGTGTGTCTCTATGTCTTACTTGTATGTATGTTATCTGTCAGTGGCTGCCTCTGTATCTCCAGGGCATGTGTCTCTGATGAGTGTTTACGACTGTGTGCCTGCCTGCTGAATGCCAATGTTTGTTTTCTCTCCAGGTGTCTGTGTGAGTCCTGCTTGTGTATTGTGTGAGGTGTCTTGCTCTGTGCTTTGCCTGTGTGTCTGGCAGTGGCGTCTGGGAATTGAAAACCTGGGCTCTGTGGGGTCTGTGTAGTCAGTGGGTGTTGCTGCTTGCCTTTCAGATCCAGCTCGCTGTGTGTGTGTGTGTGTGTGTGTGTGCTGGGTCTGAGGGGCTTGTCTCTCTGTGATGGGCTGGCTCATGTGTGTCATGTGGGCTGAGTGTGTGGAGTGTTTATGTCTGTCACGTGAGATCAATGTTTCTATCAGGGTTTTAGGTGTGTGTTGCTGGCACTGTGTGGGATTAGAGTTAGCAGCATTTGCCTGTGTGTGTTTGCCGAGGGCCTTCAGAGTTGATGAGGGTATATCAGAATGGGAGGGAGGGGAGCAGGCTGATGGTGTCTGCTGGCATGTGTGGGTGTATGTACGTGTACGTCTGAGGACATCTGTATGTCCTGGGGTCTGAGCGTGCAGTGGGTGTGTTCTGGTTGTGTTGGTCTGTGTCTGTTTTGGGGCTGATGTGTGAGAAGTTCAGTCCTGGCATGTGTAGGTCTTCTATGTGTTTAAGTAAGTGAGAATCCATGGTGGAAGTACCTATTTGTGTGTTTCTGGCAGTCTGGGTTTGTGGTGGCTACAGTTGTATGGTTGTGATTGTGTGCCTTGGAGTTGGTTCTGACTCATAGCAACCCTGCACAGGGTTCCAAGGCTGTAAATCTTTACGGGAGCAGAAAGCCTCATCTTTCTCCTGCAGAACAGCTGGTAGTTTCAAACTGCTGACCTTGAGGTTCACAGCCTGATTCGTAACCACTACACTACCAGAGCTCCTTAATAATGGGTGTATGGATATTTATGTGTCCCTGGGCTTATCAAAAGTGGGCCAGTGTGGGGGATTGACCGTTGGTGTATGTGAGTGGGTTGTGGCCCTCTGTAGGTCTGTGTATATGTGTATGTCCACACTGTGGTCAGAGTGTGTGTTTTTTGTCAGCTATTGGGACCATCTTAGTGTTTGTATGCAAATAGACTGTGGGGTGAGAGGCCAGGCTGGTGGCGCTTGTGTGACTCCTTGTACTTGTTTATGTGTGTGCCTTTCATCCATTCCCATACACACACACACACACACAGTCCTCTCCATCTGGGTCCTGTGAGAAGAATCCCAGTGTATGACCTGGGGTGCGTTCCGTACTCATTCCTGTTCCAGAAGTTATCCAAAGTACCCTAATCTTCTGTGTCAGTCCCAGGTTGAATGGGTTTGTGTTGGGGGGCTGTCACAATAATGATATTCACACACACACACATACACACACACACACACACACATGACAGCCCTTCCAGCTGGGTCTTATGTGTGAACCCTTGAAATGGGCTGTAAGAGCCGGCCCATTACCATGTGTGCAGGTTGGCCAGTTCAGCCCTTGCCCTATGTCAGCCTTAACTGGGTGGTGTCCTGTTTTAAACCTGCCATGTGTGCTGTGGGTGCCTCCCCCGCCATTCCCCCCATGTGTGTTCATCACCCTGTGTATACAATGGGGCCCTGCGCCCCCTGCACGTCCCTGCTGACCGGCACCTTCTCTGTGTCCTGCAGGCCCCAGGGAGTGCCATGGCCCGCGCTCGCCAGGAGGGCAGCTCCCCGGAGCCTGTAGAGGGCCTGGCCCGCGACGGCCCGCGCCCCTTCCCGCTCGGCCGATTGGTACCCTCGGCCGTGTCCTGTGGTCTCTGTGAGTCGGGCCTGCCCGCCGCCCCCGCCCTGCTGCCCGCCGCCTACCTCTGTGCCCCTGCCGCCCCGCCCGCAGTCACCGCTGCCCTGGGGGGCCCCCGGTGGCCTGGGGGTTCCCGTAGCCGGCCACGAGGCCCGCGTCCCGACGGTGAGTGCCTGTCCCAAGCCCATGTGAGCCTGGGTGCGAGACCTTGGGAATACCAAGGATTGGGAGCGAAATGGGGGGGCGGGGAGCCGGGCCACGGGGAGGGTGTGGCCAGTGTGGTCTTTGTGTTGCAAGAAGCAGGAAGATGGATTGGGAGGCGGGGGTGAGGGGAGAGGCCGAGTGGGAAGTTCCTCTTGGAATCTGACTGCAGTCCTTGAGTTTGTCCGCCCTGGGCCCCTTCCGGGCTTCGGGCAACAGCTGTTTCCCAGCCCTTCCCCCCATCTGGGTCTCCTGGAGCCCCTTGGGGACTGCAGTTGGAGAGAGGGTGGACCGAGGGGGAGGACCGGCCCCTATGGACTTTGAGGAGGGGACGAGGGTGGCTCCGTGCCTTGACTACATCTCTTTAGTCTGACCAGCCCCCAGAAATAGGAAGGCGAGGGGGAGGGGCTATTGTATTGGGAAATTCCCCTCGGGGCGGGGTGAGTTGTGGGGAGGGAAGGGTTAAAGGTCCCCTGCCTGATGGGCCGTTAACCCTAAGATGCCCGGCGAGCCTCATCCCTACGGGACCGTCACACATTAACTCACACACGCTCGGTGGCAGGGAGAAGATTGTCCTAGCTTCCTGAAGCCCAGTTGGGGGGAAGGGAGAGAAAACTTCTCCGGCTCAGTCCTGGCAGTGGGGGAAGGGAGTTCCACTCTCAAGACCTGAGTCACAGATGAGGAAACTGAGGCTCTGGTGTTATACCTTGGTGATGGTAGAGGGGAGTTTGCCAGCATCCTGGAGACGGGAGGGACGTCCAAGGAGGAAGACACCCCCAGTATCCCAGCCACCTAGGACTGTCTCTCAGTGGGCTCTGGAGTCTGGCCTGCTGGTCGCTCGGCCTCAGCCACATCCGGGGGTGTGGCTTCATTGTGGTTGGACCCGAGAGGGCAGGAGGCCTGAGGCTTGTGACTCTGGGTGGGGTCAGTCTCTGTATCCCTGTGTGACCTCTAGAGGTTCAACCTCAGTTTTCCCCATCTGTCAAATGGGGCAGGCAAAATATGACCCCTTTGGAAATACAAGTATTTAGATCAGATAAGAGGAAGGATTTCCAGACTGACCCTAAACTTTATGGGGAGGTGGCTGGTCAGACAGCTGACTCCAGAGAGGCTTCCCCAGGATAACGGGTTGCTTCCTGGTGCCCTCGGAAGGGCCGAGGAGTCTGCCTATAGGAGGTGGGAAAACGAATCGCTATAAATGAGGCTGGGAGAAAAGAAACCAAGCGTCTAGAAAAGGGGCAGCAGGTCTGGCCACCTGGGCACCCCCACTCTTGGTCATCAGGGGCACTTCAGGTTCTGGAGGGGAAGTGGGTGCTGACCTCCCCCCTCGGCCTCTCATAGGTCCCCAGCCCTCACTCTCGCTGGCGGAACAGCATCTGGAGTCACCGGTGCCCAGTGCCCCGGGGGCCCTGGCGGGCGGGCCCACCCAGGCGGCCCCGGGAGTCCGGGGAGAGGAGGAGCAGTGGGCCCGAGAGATCGGGGCCCAGTTGCGGCGGATGGCCGACGACCTCAACGCGCAGTATGAGCGGAGGGTAAGTCTGGGGGGAGGGGTAGACGGCAGGTGGGACTTCCCGCCGGAGGCGGGGTTGCAGGCAGCCTCGCCAGATGTGCCGCAGCTGCTGCCCTGCGTGGCGAGGTCGTGGCGGGGACAGGCAGGTGGAGGGGTGGAGGGTGGTGTGCCCGCCGAGCCGCCCACGGGTCATACTGGCACGGCTGGAGTGGCCAGGCCGCCCGAGCGCTGCGGCTGCGGGGAATGGGGCGGTGCTGGCTGGCTCAGCTCATATATCCCGGGCTATTTATAGCCGGTGAGTCAGCAGCGCCCGGGCGGCCGCGCCCGCCCCTCCCGGGCCCGCAGCACTACCCAGCTTCCCGGGCGGAAGGTGGGGCTGCGGGGAGCCCCGCCCCTTGAGTCGCCACCACCACCCCCCCAAAAAAAAAAAAAAAAAAAAACACCACACACAACTGGGCCTTTAAAAAATAATTCAGGACGCTCACCATCCAGCTCTATCCAATCCCAACGTGACACACGTACCGCTTGCTTATTACCAAAAAAAAAAAAAAATGTTGAATTGGCAAACGTTGTGTTAGATATATTTTTACAACAATGAACAATAAAAACAAATTCATCAAGATGGAGTTTCTCAATGTTGCAGGTTGCTAGTTAATTTATGGGGACTGTGAGAATTAAAAGAGGTGTTTTTAAGAGATAGAAAGATAAAAATACTGATTATTGATTAAAATAAAAGCATTTAAAGAAAACACACTCATGCAGGCAATATGTTATGAAGAATCTTGTTCATCTCGCCGATTCCTTTCCCCTCCATGTTTCCCGAGGAAATCTCTGAAGTTGGAGGAACTCACAGGGATGTTTTTTTTTTTTACTACATACAAGGGGGCTTCAAAAAGTTCGTGGAAAAAATGGAACTTTTTGGAGCCCCCTTGTATTTACCAGGCCAGAAACATGTTCCGTTACTAAGCTTGTGGAGCCTTTTTAGTCTCTCTCATGTAGATCCTGGTGGCACAGTGCTTAAGGTGGGCGGTTCATTCCACCAGCAGTTCCAAGAGAGAAAGGCCTTTCAAAATTACAGTCTAGACAACTGTCTGTCATCTAGGGTTGCTATGAGTTGGAATAGCCTCCATGGCATACGCCACCAATAACGGTTTTGCACTTGGGTGGTGCAAAGGGCTCATGTCTTTTGGCTAATAACTGAAAGTTTAGCAGTTCAAGTCCACCCATAGATGCCAAAAATCAGATCACTGAGAACCCTCTGGAACACAATTCTACTTTGATACCCATGGGATTACCATGAGTTGGAATCATCTCAACGGCAAGTGATTTAGCCAGTGTTCGGCTCTATGCATAAACCAATCAATGTTATGCTTGCACTATCTAGCATATGGATAAGGGGCGTTTGAGACATTATTTCCACTGCTACATAATATTCTACTGTAGCCATGTAGATTTCATGCACTTACTCATTTTCTCACTGATGAATATTCAGTATTTCTTTGTGTACTGTTAAATGTCCACCTTTTGTTTTGTTTTGTTTTGTTTTTTGACTCTTCCAAACGAGGTACATCTCCTGGTGTGCCCATGGGTGTCTCTAGATATGTGGGTAGCTGGGTCTTGGCATTGGCATCTTTAGTTCTCCTACATGGTTGTCAGTATATTCTCCAAGGTGGCAACTGTAGCAGTATGTCAGGCTTCTTAATTCATACATATCTAATGAATCCCTGTGTCCCGGCTGAAAGAGCTGGTGTGGGGTATTGAGGTAGGTTCTGGTTCCTGGCACCCTGTCCAGAGTTCCCCTACCAGTCCTTTATCTCACATTCATATTCCCATCTGTAAAGTGAATGTCTCTGTACCTCTGTGTCTTCAGGTGGTAAGATGAAGTGAGTGTAACTTGGCACCGGGCCTGCCCATACACTCAGTGTAAGGGATTGTTGTTGAATCGATTCTGACTCACGGTGATCCCTTGTGTGTGTCTGACTTGAATGATGCGCCATAGCGTTTTCATGGCTGAAATTTTGGAAGTAGATTACCAGGTCTTTCTTCCAAGGCACCTCTGAGTGGATTTGAACTCCAGGAGTTACAGTCTACTTGTTGGCAACTGGTTGATGTTGTTGTTTAGGTATTGTTTAGTCGGTTTCAACTCGTAGCGACCCCTTGTGACACAGGAAGACAACCCCCTATGATTTTCTAAATTGTAATCCTGATGGAAGGAGATAAACAAGCCTTTGTCCCATGAAGCTGCTGGAAGGTTTCCAACAGCCGATAAGCACTGTACTCCCAGGTCTCTCCATGGCAACTGGTTCCCGGTTACGGGTAATAGTCCCTACCTCAGAGTGTTGGCTGACAAAAAGGAAGACCCCCAATGAGAAATACTGACACAGTGGGTAGTAACAACGGACTAAACGTAACAGTAATTGTGAGGACCAGGCAGTGTTTCATTCTGTTGTGCAGAGGGTCACTGCCCTCACCCTGAGCTGCCTCCTGACCTGAGCCCCCATAAAGACTTGCCCTGGGACCCCAATCCACTGCCCCCTAGTTGATTCAGTCTCACGGTGCCACTATGCACAGAGTAGAGCTGCCCTATAGGGTTTCCAAGGCTGTAACTCTCTAATGAAGCAGACTGCCATATCTTTCTCCCATGAGGCAGTAGGTTCAAACCACTGACCTTATGGTTAGTGGCCCATTGCTTAAACCACTGCACCACCAGGGCTCATCTCTGGGAGTTTAAAAATCAAGCCCACTGCCTTCAGGTCAGTTCTGACTGATCATGACTCTGTGGAGGGTTTCTAAGACTGTAAATCTTAACAGGAGGGTAAAGCTTCAGCTTTCTCCCAAGGACCGGCTGGTGGGTTTGAACCACTGATCTTGCAGTGAGCCGCACGACACCCTCTAATTCTTCCTCTCTTTCTCTCTCTTTCCCCCTACAACAGAGACAGGAGGAGCAGCAGCGGCACCCCCCCTCACCGTGGAGGGTCCTGTACAATCTTCTTATGGGACTTCTGCCCTTACCCAGGGGCCATGGTGTCCCCGAGATGGAGCCCAATTAGGTGCCCGCACCTGCCCGGCGGACATCAGGGACTCGGGGGGCAGGCTCCCCTCACCTCCTGACGCCCCAGCCAGTGCGGGGAACCTTTTCTGCACCATGTAGCATACTGGACTACTAGGCCTGCCTGCCCTGGGCAGCCAGGGAAGTCACTCCAGCCCCAGCCCAGCCCTGGCTTCGTTGCGGAGCTGAGGGGTACCGATGAAGACTCGGACTCCTGGTTCCCTGACCACAACTCCAGGGAGGGCGGACTGCCGGACTTAGCTTCTGAAAGCGGCGGTGACCGAAGGGGTGAGGACCTGGCCGCCCGCCTCTGCCGCCCACCACCATCTCAGGAAAGGTTGCTGGTGCTGAAGGGGTGACATTGGGGGTCGACCCCCAGTGTTCCTTCACTTTGGGCTTGGCCTCAGGCCCTGGTGCTTCCCCCCCTCCTTCTGGGGAGGGGGCCCATGAAGAGCAAATGAGCCAAATGTGACCACTAGCTTCCTGGAGCCAGAGAATGGGGTGTGTCGGATGCCCCCCTTTCCCCTCCCCCCAACCCAGTGCCCAGCCATCCTGCCTGAGCCAGCATCGGGTGGTTGGCATGCCTGCCTCATCTTCATCAGGGGTGGCTAGGAGGAGCCCAGACTGTGTGAATCCTGTGCTCGGCCTGTGACCACCCCTCTCCCCCCATTGACCCCATTCATAGGTTTAGAGAGAGCACGCGTGACCACTGGCATTCATTTTGGGGGGTGGGATATCTTGGCGGAAGTCGCCCCAGCCTTAGTCCCCAGGACAGACTAGGTGTTGGGGGGTTGGACTGGGAGTCAGGGAGGGGGGAATCTCAGAGAAGGGGAGAAGTCTGGGAGTGGGGAGGGATGGCCCAGCCTGTAATATACTGTATATGCGCTGCTGTAGATACCGGAATGAATTTTCTGTACATGTTTGGTTAATTTTTTTTGTACATGATTTTTGTATGTTTCCTTTTCAATAAAATCAGATTGGAACAGTGGACGCTCTTTCTGCCCGCCTTCCCCGCCACGTGGCCTGGGTGAGGCCTGGCATGTGGTCTGTTCAGAGCCTCCATCTGGGGCCCTGTCTGTAGCGGGGGTGGGGAGGGAAGGGAGAGTCCACAGGGCACACGGCGGGCATTCAGCTTTGTCCCTTCTGTCACTGGAAAGCTGAGGAAAAATGGCAATCCTAGAAACCAAACTCCGTTGCCTTCAGTGTTGATGGTGAGCCCGTCATGAGGTGCAAAGCAGAACTGCTCCATAGGGTTTCCTTGGTTACAATCTTTACGAAGGCAAATTACCAGGCCCTTCTAACATGGAGCCTCTAGGTTGGTTCAAACCACCAACCTTTAGGCTAATAGCTGAGAATAAACCCTTTGTGTCCTCCAGGGACCTACTTATACAATACTGTCCTTAAGTGCCTTTGAGTCAGTTCCAACTCATAGCAACCCCTTTATAGGTTCGAGAAATGACTGGTGGCTTTGAGCAGTTCACCTTGCGGTTAGCAGTGCAGTACTTACTCTACATCCACACCAGGCCTTCTATAATACTTGTTAAGTGCCGTCGAGTTGGTTTCGACTCATAGTGACCCTATATAGGGTTTCCGAGGAGCAACCGGTGGGTTTGATCTGCCGACCTTGTGGTTCAAAGTCCAGGGCTGATCCTACAGCACCACACCAGGAGTCCTCTACAATCCTAAACCCTCATAAAACAAACCTACTGCTGTCGAGTTGATCCTGACATATAGCGGCTCATTAGGACAGAGTAGACAGAACTGCTCCCTCTAAGTCTATGAATCTGTATGGGAATACACAGCATCATCTTTTATCTGCAAGTGGCTAGTGGTTTGAATCTCTGGCCTTGTGGTTAGCAGCCCAATAGTTAACCCACTGCACCGCCAAGACTCTCTTCTAGACCACTAGGGCACAGGAAAAGAGAACCACCATTTTGGACAGGAATGAGGCAAAGCCTTGTCAAAGACGTATGTAGTTGATGCCAGTATTTGCCTTCCTGGATGTCTCCTTTAGAAGGTAGGACGTATACCTGGGAGTTTCCAAGTTACGCAGGCTTACCACAAAGCCAAGTGTAAGTAAAGGGTAATAAAGGCTTACCAATATACAGCAGTGAAGATGGTACTGACAAATAATGAATAATAAGTAAGGTAAGAGACCATGAAGGAAGTTGGGTATATGGGGTTTGTTACATTGTTCCCTGCAGTTTTCCTCATTCACAAATCTCTCCACACAGGACCCACAGTGAAAAATGGCCACACAAGCTTTTACACCAAAGAAGTAGAGCTCTGCTCCAGGTCCCCATAACTTCAGACACATCTCAACATTTACTGTACTATGTTGTTTGGGGTTTTTCCCCTCTGTTCTCTCTTTCCTGCTTTCTCTCAGAGTACTTGAATAACTTAGAATTCCATCTAAATTTTTGACTCACCAGACGCTCCATGAAAATTCTGTTGTTGTTGTTAAGTGCCGTGGAGTTGGTTCCGACCCATTGTGACCCTGTATATGGTTTCTGAGGAACAGCTGGTGAGCTTGAACCACCAACCTTGCAGTTGAAACGGCTTTGCAGTCTGGCGCATTAACCCACAGCGCCACACCAGGACTCCTGGAAACCTCGTTGTTAAGTTCCGTCGAGTCGGTTCCGACCCATAGTGACCTTGTACAAGGTTTACTGAGGCTGTAAATCTTTATGGGAGTAGAAAGCCTCATCTTTCTCCCGCGGAGCTGCTGGTAGTTTCGAACTGCTGACCTTCAGGTTCGTAGCCCGATTCGTAACCACTACGCTACCAGAGCTCCTTCCTGGAAGGCTCTGTAGACGGTTGCTATTAGTTGGAACCGACTCCAGGACACTTAACAGCAACAAGAGGCAGACTGTATGCGGTACATTGGCTGGGAATCGAACCCAGGTTTCCCATATGGAAGCCCAGAATTCTACCACTGAATCAACACTGTTCTCAGTGTTACTCTGAGGGTGGGAAACTTCCGGGCCAGGAGCCATATGTTGTTGTTGTGAAGTGCCATTGAGTCAGTTCCAACCCACAGCGACCCTATATAGGATTTCCAGGGAGCTGCTGGTGAGCTTAAACCGCCAACCTCACAGTTCAAACAGCTTTGCAGTCTGGCGCATTAACCCACAGCACCACACCAGGACTCCTAGGGGCCATATAAGACCCATGAAATCATTTGGTCTGGCCCTGCTAAAGCAACCGCAGTTTCAGCCATCACACTGTGACTCCGTATAGGGTTTCTGAGGAGCGACTGGTGGGTTTATGCTTAAACCAACCTTTCAGTCCAGTGCACTATCCTGAAGCATCACACCAGGACTCTAGCGGGTTCCGACCCATAGCAAGCCATGACATTTGTTGTTGTTGTTAAGTACCGTCGAGTCGGTTCTGACCCATAGCAACCCTCTAGAGGGTTTCCAAGGAATGACTGGTGAGCTTGAACCACCAACCTTGCAGTTCAAACTGACCTTGTAATCCAGTGCATTAACCCACAGTGCCACACCAGGACTCCTTGACTAATATAGCAAGCTAATTTTTAAATTGATAATTTTGTATGATCTGCAAATGATGTTATAAATATCCAAATGGCCTTTGGCAGAAAAAAGGTTCCCAACCTCTCTCTACTCTAAGGATTACAAAATTCCTTAATTCACAGACTATTTAGAATTAATGTTTTATCAGCTCTCATATCATGTAGAAAACCTGGTTCACAAAAAAACCCCACAAAAACTCACAGACATTGAGTTGATTCTGATTCATAACTCACAGGATTTCCCAGACTGTAAATATTTATGGGAGTAGACAGCCTTGTCTTTCTCCCACGGAGCAGCTAGTGGGTTTGAACTGTCCAAGATGTGGTTAGCCCCCAAACACTTAACCCATAGCATCACCAGGCCCCCCCCTTTTTTAAATTGTGAACTGAGTGATAGTTTACATGGGAGAACGTCGGCTTTGCACCATCATTTCATTGCAATGATTACAATCTCCTCTGTTCTTCATCATTCAAGAATATTTACTTCCATTCCCCAATTTTCTTTTATTGGGGGGGTTGGGGGTTGGATGGGGAGATGTACATAAAAACACTCAGGAATATGTAGTAATTAAAACAACCAAAGGGCACACATTCTGCAAGCCTGCCTTCTGGCCACCAGCACACAGCCTTTCTCTTTCCATGAATCTAGAGTCCTCAGCTGCTTCCTCTCTCTATGTCCTCATCTCTGCCTCCATCTCTGCCTCTATCTCTGCTTCCTCTCTGCCTCCATGAATCTAGAGTCCTCAGCTGCTTCCTCTCTCCATGTCCTCATCTCTGCCTCCATCTCTGGTGTCACTGTTACTCTGGATAGGGTCCCACATTCCGCTTGTGCTCTTCTCCCTTGATGATCCTAGGGTCCTCTGTTTCTGGACTATAAACTACTATCTACTCCCCTGTTTTTGTTACAAAACTTCTACCTTTACAATTGTGACAGTCGCAATTAGTCATGATAACAATTAATCACTATTGATCATTGAGAATCTTACCCCCATCTCTTTTCACCAGATACAGGGACCCCTTTTATTTAAAAAAAAAAAGAATTATGTTTACACTCCAGAATAGAACACTATCTTTTCAAAATACAAACAATTTATCCTAGTAGACCTCGCCTATAGTTTGTATTTATTTTGTTGTTGAGAATATACACGTCAGAACATATAACAGTTCTACCATTTCTACATATACAATTTAGCGACATACACATTCTTCAAGTTATACAACTATTGTTACTTTTCTTAATTGTTCATCCCCCAGTGACATAACTACCACTTGTCTGTCAATTTGTCACACTGTGGTGACTTGTGTGTTGCTGTGATTCTGGAAGCTATGCTACAGGTATTTTAAATACCAGCAGGGTCACCCATGGTGTACAGATTTCAGATGAGCTTCCACGAGAAGATAGACTAGGAAGAAGGCGAGACAGACTACTGCTGAATATTTAGTCACTGACAGCCTTATAAATAACAGTGGAACACTGTCAGCACCGAATTATTGAATATTGAAATGTGATGAAGAGCAGTAGAATATAGTCAGATATAGTGTTGGAAAATGAGGCCCTCTCATTGGAAGGCACTCAAAATGGGACTGAAGAAGAGATGCTTCCTCAAAGTAGAGCTGACTGTGATGACACAAATGGGACCTTCATTTGCTGATGGAGCACAACTCAAAATGAAGAGAAACACCTGTAAAAATCCATTAATAATCAGAAG